TGTATGTATGTATGTATGTATGTATGTATGTATGTATGTATGTATGTATGATGTTACGTGGAATGTACTCGGGTGATTTCTTTTTGCGATTTATTTATTTCGGTTATGCCGCAACATACAGAATGTGCAAAATTTGTTTTGATGAACTTTTGTCCTGTTTGATGTACCAATTTTAACATAAGAACGAGAAAATGAAGACGGTTGTTATGCCTAGTTAACCACTACATTCCTACAAAAGTCTCAATGAAGTACACCGGCAGTGGCACCTACCTTCTACGCATTTCGCTGCGTGTGTTCGTAAATATTTTGTTTGATTGAATCAGCCTTCGATCATACTTGGTGTATGCAGTGTTTCATAATTTTGCATCACCAAAGCGAATGTTGAGGGAATAACTGGTGTCGTTTTTCTTCCCCATATTTTGTTTCTCATAATGTGTTCTCCATGCAAGAGTACAATATTTGCAGTCTCACACATGGTAGATCAGCTAACGATATTTGCGAATCGTGGGTTTTGTGCCGTTACCTTGGTGCTTCAAATGTAGTGGTCACCTGATTTGTGCAATGGAATCTTGGAATATTCGACTATTAAGACGGAGTTTTACGGGACACATAACCTAGCATCGAGGATGCTTCTCCACAGTGTATTTTACATTCATCTTTGCTCCAACTTCTTTGACAAGGAGTTTTTCTCGATCTGCTTTTGAGCTCGGAAGTGTTGACACCTTCATCCTTGTTTTACGTTCTCTACAAGTAATCAAAGCTCTTTAACCTCCGGTGCAGCGTGATCATTGAGGGATAATATTAGGCAATACCGTTGAGTGTCGGATGCAGTGATGCCCGTACCCTGATACGATCGTGTCCTAGGGATTGAGTCTCTTCGTGAATCGGTGACCTTCAGGATTTCTCGGTAATAGCAGTGTCCGACAGCGTTGGGTATTTCTGTTCGAAGTTGCTTTTCTTGCTATTGTCTGCTCAGATATGACCTTCAAGAAAGTAGTGTTGTTACAGGCTGACCAGCAGTTTGGTTCACTCACCTTAAACGCTCTGCCCAGTAAATGGACCGGAACGAAGAACATCGGCCTTATTAGTCACGGATCTTACTCGCTTGTTCACAGTGCCAAAGGTTCACTCATGGTGTGTTGTAGACAGGACACTTGCCAAGAGAAAACAAAAAATCCTCCAAATTTGGTATTGGTTCTATCTG